GCCTCCTGCAGTGCCACAACGATGCCACCCGAAGGTTGCAGGAACAGCAACTCATATTTCGCTTGGGAACCCTGCAGGTAAATGGTATCAATGTGGACTTCATAAGCTTCAAAATCTCCTCTCCCCCAACTGCATCCCAAAACCAGTCCAGCTCGTCCCCGCCTCCCTAACCTGTCCTTCCTCCCACCTATCCCCTCCTCCCACCTCAAGCCCCACCCCCATCTCCTACCTACTAACCTCATCCCACCCCATTGACCTGTCCGTCCTCCCTGGACTGACCTATCTCCTCCCTACCTCCCCACCTACACTCACCTCTACCGGCTCCATCCCCACCTCTTTGACCTGTCTGTCTCCTCTCTACCTATCTTCTCCTCTTTCCATCTTCTATCCGCCTCCCCCCTCTCCCTATTTACTTCAGAACCCCCTTCCCCTCCCCCATTTCTGAAGAAGGGTCTAGGCCCGAAACGTCAGCCCTCCTGCTCCTCTGATGCTGCTTGGCCTGCTGTGTTCATCCAGCTCTACATCTTGTTATCTCTTTTTCATATCCCCTTTTAGCTTTTCTAATAGAGTCATAGAGGTCTGCAGCATGAAAACAGGCCCGTAGGCCCAACTTGCTCATGGCACCCAGTTTTCACAATTAAACTAGTCCCATTTGCTGTGATTGGCCCATATCCCTCCATATCTATCCCATCCATGTATTTGTCATTATATTTTTTAAATTACAGAACTGTACTCACTTCCACCAGTACCTCTGGCAGCCTGTTCCAGACACTGACCACCCTCTGTGTGAAGAAAATTGTCCCTCTGGACCCTTTTGTATCTCTCCCCTCTCACCTTCAATCTATGCTCTCTAGTTTCAGACTTTCCTATCATGGGGAAAAAAAACTGTTGGTTATCTGCCTTACCTATACCTCTCATGATCTTATTTAGATACCTCAATAAGGTCTCTCCTCAGTCTCTTAGGCTGCAGGGCAAGAAGTCCCAGCCTATCCAACCAATATACATACATAAATGATCTGGCGGAAGGTATAGATGGTCTGATTAGCAAGTTTGCAGATGATACTAAGATTGGTGGAGTAGCAGATAGTGAAGGGGACAGTCGGAGAATGCAGTAGAATATAGATAGATTGGAGAGTTGGGCGGAGAAATGGCAGATGGAGTTCAATCCAGGCAAATGCGAGGTGATGCATTTTGGAAGACCCAATTCAAGAGCGAACTATACAGTAAATGGAAAAGCCCTGGGGAAAATTGATGCACAGAGAGATCTGGGTGTTCAGGTCCATTGTACCCTGAAGGTGGCAACGCAGGTCGATAGAGTGGTCAAGAAGGCATACGGCATGCTTTCATTCATCGGACGGGGTATTGAGTACAAGAGTTGGTAGGTCATGTTACAGTTGTATAGGACTTTGGTTCGACCACATTTGGAATACTGCATACAGTTCTGGTTGCCACATTACCAAAAGGATGTGGATGCTTTGGAGAGGGTGCAGAGGAGGTTCACCAGGATGTTGCCTGGTATGGAGGGCGCCAGCTATGAAGACAGGTTGAGTAGACTAGGATTATTTACATTAGAAAGATGGAGGTTGAGGGGGGACCTAATCGAGGTCTACAAAATCATGAGAGGTATAGACAGGGTGGATAGCAAGAAGTTTTTTCCCCAGAGTGGGTGACTCAATTACTAGGGGTCATGATTTCAAGGTGAGAGGGGAAAAGTGTGAGGGAGATATGCGTGGAAAGTTCTTTACGCAGAGGGTGGTGGGTGCCTGGAACGCGTTGCCAACGGAGGTGGTAGAGGTGGGCACGATAACGTCACTTAAAATGTATCTAGACAGATAAATGAATGGGCAGGGAGCAGAGGGATACAGATCCTTGGAAAATAGGCAACAGGTTTAGATAGAGGATCTGGATCGGCGCAGGCTTGGAGGGCCGAAGGACCTGTTCCTGTGCTGTAATTTTCTTTGTTCTTTGTTCTTTTGTTCAACCTCTCATTATAACTCAAACCATCCAGTCCAGGTAGGATCCTCGTAAATCTTTTCTGCACTCTTTCTAATTTAATAATCTCCTTTCTTTAATAGGTGACCAGAACTGCACGCAGTACTCTAACTGTGGCCTTACCAATGCCTTGTACAGCTGCAACAAGATGTCCTATCTCCTACACTCAGTGCTCGGACCAATGAAAGCAAAAATGCCGAAAGCCTTCTTCTCCACCCTGTCTACTTGTGACTTTACTTTCAAAGAGCTATGAACCCATACCCCTAGAACTCTTTGCTCTATAAGACTTCCCAGAGCCCTACCATTGACTGTATAGGTCCTGCACTGGTTTGACCCACCAAAATGCAATACTTTGCATTTATCTAAATTAAACTCCAACTGCCAATCCTCAGCCCACTGACTCAGTTGATAAAGATCTCACTGCATTCCCACATAACCTTCTTCACTGTCCACTATACCAGCAATCTTAATGGCATCCACAAACTTATTAACCAGACCTCTCAGATTCTCATCCAAATCATTTATATAAATAATACAAATAACAGTGGACCCTGCACTGATCCCTGTGGCACATCGCTGGTCACAGGCCTCCAGTCTGAAAAACAACCCTATACCACCACCCTCTGTCTTCTACCGTCAAGCCAATTTTGTTTCAATTGGATAGCTCTCCCTAGATCTCGTGAGATTTAATCTTACTCAACAACATACCATGCAATACCTTGTCAAGGGCCTTGCTAAAGTAGACAACGTCTGCCGCAATGCCCTCATCTACTTTCTTGGTCATCCCTTCAAAAAACTCAATCAAATTCATGAGACACGATTTCCCAAGCACAAAGCCATGCTGACTAGCCAAAATGAGTCCTTGCCTCTCCAAATGCCTGTAAGATCCTATCGCTCAGAATACCCTCTAACAACTTACCCACCACAAATGTTAAGCTTACTGGTCTGTAGCTCCCAGGCATTACCCTGCAGCCTTACTTTCCTTTTACAGAATCCCCAGAGTGCGGAAACAGGCCATTCGGCCCAAGTCCACACTAAACCTCTGAAGAGCATCCCACCCAGATCCATCCCTCTACCTATCCCTGCATTTCTCATAGCTAATGCACCAAACCCACACATCTCTGAACACAATGGATAATTTAGCATGGCCAATCCACCTAACTTGCATATCTTTGGACAGTGGGAGAAAACCGCAGCACCCGGCGGAAACCCACGCAGACACGGAGAGAATGTGCAAACTCCACACAGATAGTTGCCCGAGGCTGGTATTGAACCCAGGTCCCTGGCGCTGCAAGGCAGCGGTGTTGACCACTGAGCCCCCCGTGCCTTCATTAATGCCACAACATTAGCCAACCTCCAATCTTCAGGCACTTCACCCGTGGCTGTCAATGATACAAATATCTCTGCTAGGGCCCTGAAATTTCCTCCTTCACCTCTCTCAAAGGCCTGGGATACAGTTCATCAAATCCTGGGCATTTATCAACCCAAATGCATTTTAAGACTTTCAGCACCCACTCTTCTGAAATGTGGTTTCTCTTCAAGATATCACTATTTCTATCTTTTTAAAGATTCCTCTTGCACATTCTGTACTTCTTTTCGGCTTCTGCTGCTTTGAGCCCTCAGTATCTGCCATAAGCCACCTTTTTTCTCTTAATGCAATGTTGTTTATTCCCTGACAGTCAGGGTTCACGGGATTTAGTGGTCCCACCCTTTTTCTTTAATGGAAAATGTCAGCCTTGTACTCTCCATATTTCCTTTTCGAATGCACCCCACTATTCTCAGATAGATTTACCTGGAAGTATCTTTTCCCGATACACTCTGGCCAAATCATATTTAATCTTATTAAAATCAGCCTTGCCCCCAGTTGAGTACTTTGACTTCAGGCTCATTCTTGTCCTTGCCCATGACAATCTAGAATCCAAGGGAGTTATGATTGCTGTCTGCAAAATGTTCCCCACTGATATTTTAACCCACCTTTGTTACTTAAAATTAAGTCCAGGATTGCCCCTTTTCTTGTAGGGCCTTCTACATACTGGCTTAAAAAGCTGCCCTGAATACATTTTAAGAATTATGAGCCCTCTAAACCTTTCACATTATAATGAGCCCAGTTAAATGTTGGGCAGTTGAAATTCCCCACTATCACTACCCTATTACTTTACACTTGCCTGTAATTTGCCTACATATCTACTTTTCTATTTTTCTTGGATTTTTAGGGAGCCTATAGTAAATTATCAGCAATGTGATTGTTCTTATTTGCTTATTCAGTTCTACCCATATAGCTTCATTTGAGGAGCCTTCAAAGATGTCATCCTTCCTTTCCGCTGTAATAAATTCCCTATTCAAAATTGCCTCACCTCCTCACTTTGATATATTGGAATGAAATACTGACTTGTGTATCATCAACTACTTATATTTGGTCTGTAGACTTCACAGAAAGCACACTCCTTGAAACATGTCCGTTTTTCACCCCATTCCGCAAGGTGATCTTTGCTTACTGCATATAATTTTTAAAAAGAATTTCCACATTGGTTTAAACATTATAAATATTCATTAACACCACTGAATTCAAGTTTGTAGACACTAACCTGACAGTATTTTCACCTTAAAGTCAGAAGATCATGGACCTGAGTACACAATTTAGGCTAATATTATTGTACATTCCTCAAAGCTTGCAGTATAGGCGCTGTCATTCAAATAATATGTCAGATCTATTGGAGTGGATGTAAATGATCCTGTCAACTAATAGCAGTGGGGAGAATTCCCAGTTTCCTTCCTTAACTTACTACTCTTCTATTCATTCTTCCTTCTGTAATTTGACTGTCATAATTATCATCAATATTTGCAATGGGAAAAGAATGGTAGTGCATCGAAGGTTACCATTGATGTAAAGTGCCTAGAGATGTCCGCAGAACACAATATTGCTCATAAAAATGCAAATTTTTCAGAAGAATTCATGTCTATTCTGTAGATAGATATCATAAAATACTAGACAAGAGCCAAGTGTGTACCTTTCATTCTCCACAGGGCACTTAGATCTCCAGTCGCTAAGGTGGCTGTCATACTCCACTGACAATATCCTGAGACTGGGGCAGTCTGCAGCCAACCAAGTCTGAATACAAATCAGCAGTACAGACACATTAGGTTAAAAGGAAGGACTGTTAAAAATCATTCAAATTGACTTCTAAACTTGTAACCATAATATATAACATTTTATATTGCTCCAACGGTAGGTGTAGGAAATTGCTGAATCAATACCTTTTCAAAGTCAATGTTTTCAATGCATGACATGAAAAGCACACAATTGCACTGCTTATTTAAAATTGTCTAACAGGTTTGAAATTCTTGTAACCTCCATGAATAAAAGCAAGCGGTTTCATGATGGACTACCAAATTCATTCATAGAATCCTGACAGTGTGGAAGCAGGCCATTCAGCCCATCAAGTCCACACCAACCCACTGAAGAGCATTCCTTCCAGACCCATGCCTCTGTAACCCTGCAGTTCCCACAGCTAACTCATCTAGCCAGCACATCCCTGGACACTATAGGCAATTTAGCAAGGCCAATCCACCTAACTTACACATCTTTGGACTGTGGGAGGAAACCCTTGCAAACACAGGGAGAATGTGCAAGCTCTACACAGATGGTCGCCTGAGGGTGGAATCGAACCCAAGTCCCTGCCACCGTGAGGCAGCAGTGCTAACCACTAAGCCCCCGTGCCGGCCCTGCCATTACTCATGGCACAGCACATAAGGAAGCCATTCAAGCAGGGATAGTGAATATGAATGTAGTGCTAGTAGAGGACAGTACAGTTAGGCTGATAGATACAGTTTTATGTGCCAACAGCAACAGTCCATGGTGGCTCAGTGGTTAGCATTGCTGCCTCACAGCACTAGGGACTCAGGTTCGATTCTACCCTCAGGTGACTGACTGGATGGAGATTGCATGGGTTTTCTCCAGGTGCTCCGGTTTCCTTCCGCAGTCCAAACATGTGTGGGCTGGGTGAATTGGCCATGCTAAATTGCCCCATTGTGTTCAGGGATGTGTAGATTAGGTGCATTAACCATGGGAAATGCAAGGTTACAGGGACGGGGTGGAGAGATGGGTCTGGGTAGGATGGTCTTTGGCTGAAGGGATTCTATGTAGGAATCCAAACAGCTGTGTTGCTTGCCTGTTGCCGGGGTTCAGGACATTTTTAAAATTTATTTGTGGGATGTGGGCGTCGCTGGCTGGTCAGCATTTCTTGCCCATCCCTAATTGCCCTTGAAAAGGTGGTGGTGAGCTGCCTTTTTGAACCGCTGCAGTCCTCCTGCTGTGGGTTGACTCACAATGCTATTAGGGAGGGAATTCCAGGATTTTGACCCAGCAACAGTAAAGGAACGCCGACATATTTCCAAGTCAGGATGGTGAGTGACTTGGAGGGGAACTTGCAGGTGGTGGTGTTCCCATATATCTGCTATCCTTGTCCTTCTGGATGGAAGTGGTCATGGGTTTGGAAGGGGCCATCTGAGGATCTTTGGTGAATTTCTGCAGTGCATCTTGTAGATAGTACACACTGCTGCTACTGAGCGTTGGTGGTGGAGGGAGTGAATGCTTGTAGATGTAGTGCCAATCAAGCAGGCTGCTTTATCCTGGATGGTGTCAAGCTTCTTGAGTGTTGTTGGGGCTGCACTCATCCAGGCAAGTGGGGAGTATTCCATCACACTCCTGACTCGTTCCTTGTAGATGGTGGACAGGCATTGAAGAGTCAGGTGAGTTACTCGCTGCAGTATTCCCAGCTTCTGGCCTGTTTTTGTAGCCACTCTGTTAATGTGGTGAGTCTAGTTGAGTTTCTGGTCAATGGTAACCCCCAGGACTTTGATAATGGGGGATTCAGTGATGAGAACACCATTGAATATCAAGGGATGGTGGTTAGATTGTCTCTTATTGGTGATGGTCATAGCCTGGCATTTGTCACTTGCCAGTTGTCAGCCCAAGCCTGGATATTGTCCAGATCTTGTTGCATGTGAACATGGACTGCTTCAGTATCTGAGGAGTCACGAATAGTGCTGAACATTGTGCAATCATCGGCGAACATCACCACTTCTGACCTTATGATGGAGGGAGGGTCATTGATGAAGCAGCTGAAGATAGTTGGGCCTAGAACACTACCCTGAGGAACTCCTGCAGAGATGTCCTGGAGCTGAGATGATTGACCTCCCACAACCATGACCATCTTCCTATGTGTCAGGAGCTTTTGCCCCCTGATACCCATCGATTCCAGTTTTGCTCGGGGTCCTTGATGCCACACTCGGTCGAATGCAACCTTGATATCAAGGGCTGTCACTCTCACATCACCATTGGAATTTAGCTCTTTTGTCCATGTTTGAACCAAGGCTATAATGAGATCAGGAGCTGAGTGGCCCTGGCAGAACCCAAACTCGGCATCACTGAGCAGGTTATTTTTGAGCAGGTGTTGCTTGATAGCACTGTTGATGACACCTTCCATCACTTTACTGATGATCAATAGGAGACTGATGGGGCGGTAATTGGCTGGGTTGGATTTGTCCTGCTTTGTGTGTACAGGACATACTTGGGCAATTTTCCACATTGTCAGGTAGATACCAGTGTTGTAACTGTACTGGAACAGCTCGGCTAGGGGAGTGGCAAGTTCTGGAGCACAAGTCTTCAGTACTATCGCTGGAATGTTGTCAGGGCTGGTAGCCTTTGCAGTATCCATTGTCTCCAACCATTTTTTGATATCACATGGAGTGTGTCGAATTGGCTGAAAACAAGTATCTGTAATGCCAGGGACCACTGGAGGAGGCCGAGATGGATCGTCCACACGGCACATCTGGCTAAATATTGCTGCGAATGCTTCAGCCTTCTCTTTTGCACTGATGTGCTAGACTCTTCCATCATTGAGGATGGGGATATTTGTGGAGCCTCCTTCTCCAGTAAGTTGTTTAATTGTCCACCACCATTCACGACTGGATGTGGCAGAACTGCCGAGCTTAGATCTGATCTGTTGGTTGTGGGATCGCTTAGCTCTATCTATCACTTGCTGCCTTTGCTGTTTGGCGTGCAAGTAGTTCTGTTTGGTGGCTGCACCAGGTTGATACCTCATCTTCAGGTATGCCTGGTGCTGCTCCTGGCATGCCCTCCTGTGCTCTTCATTGAACCAGGGTTGGTCCCCTGGCTTGATGGTAATGGTTGAGTGGGGCATATTCCAGGCCATGAGGTTGTAGATTGTGCTGAAGTAAATTCTGCTGCTGTTGATGGCCCACAGCGCCTCATGGATGCCCAGTCTTGAGTTGCTAGATCTGTGCAAAGTCTGTCCCATTTAGCATGGTGATAGTGCCACACAACATGATGGAGGTTGTTTTCAATGTGAAGACGGGACTTCGTCTCCACAAGGACTGTGTAATGGTCACTCTTACCGATACTGTCATGGACAGATGCAACCACGTTGTGGTTTAAGAGCAATTAGGGATGGGTAACAAATGTAAACCTTTTAAGCAATGCCCTCAAGAATTGTTAGAAAATCTCCTCTGGGCTGCAGTAGGAAGAGAGAACCCAGAGGTCACGGTCTATGTATGTACCAAAGGAAAATAGAAAATATCACGAGTAGACCATTCCGCCCTTTGATTCTTCTCTGCTTCCCCTCTTATCATTTGATCCCTTTGGCCTCAAGTGCTTTATCCAAGTTCTTGAAATCATATAATGTTTTTGTCTTGACTGCTTTCTGTCGTAGTGAATTTCAGGCTCACCACTCTCAGGGTGAAAAAATTCCTCCTCATATCAGTTCTAACTGGTTTATTTTGTATCCTGAGACTGTTTCTGGACTCCCTGGCCATGACGAACATCCTTCCTCATCTACCCAGCCCAATTCTGTTAGGATTTTATAGGTTTTCATGACATGTCTCTTCATTCTTCTGGACGTCACTGAATATAACATTAACTGATCCAACCTCTACCTTATGTCAGTTCTGCCATCCCAGAAATCAGTCTGGTAAATCTTTGCTGTACATTAATGAAATGGGTAGGACTAATAAAAGGGTTCTGCTTCAAGAGCATGAGCAGAAGGGGGTTAAACTTTTTTTTTCTTTATTCGTTCACAGGATGAGGGTGTTGCTGGCTAGGGCAGCATTTATTGCCCATCCCTAATTGCCCAGACGCAGTTAAGAATCAACCACATTGCTGTGGGTCTGGAGTCACATGTATGCCAGACCAGGTAAGGATAGCAGTTTCCTTCCCTAAAAGATAATGACCTAATCTGAGGGAACTAAGTTGGTCAAGTGTTTGAAGTTTCAGTGGATGAATGTTCTGGGGATAGTGACCATAAAAGTATGGAAAGGGATAAGGAAAATGCAAACCATAAGTGTCTAAACTGGGGGAAGGCTCATTTCAATATCATTAGACAGAATGTGCAAGCAGACTCAGAGCAGGTATTTGCAGGTAGGTCTACATTTGGAAAGGAAGAGTCTTTTAAAAATAGTATAAAAGTCGTATAAGAATTCAGGGCCAGTGCATTCCTCTAAGAAGGAAGAGTAAGGGCAGCAAGTCCAGGGAACACTGGATGACAATGGATAGTGACAGTTTGATAAAGACAAGAAAGCAAATACATGTCAGCAACAGTGTATTAAAAACAGGGAGCCCTTTCAAAAGTATAGACAGTGTAGGAGGTTGTTTATAAAAGATGAGAGCAGAGGGGCCACGAAATATCTTTGGCAGATGGGATCAAGGAAAACCCCAAGGCTTTTTATAACTTCATTAAGAGTTGGAGGATTACCAAGGGAAGACTGGGATCTATTAGAGACAGTGGACGTGGACGAGATCTTAAATGCATATGTCTCAAAATGGAAAAAGTACTGAAGGACAGGATTAATCAATACTTGGAAAGGCAGGGATTGATTAGGGATAGTTGGCACGGATTTGTTAGAGGAAGATCTTGTCTGGCTGATTTAATTGAGTTTTTTGAAAAGATGACTAAATATATTGATGAGGGTAGTACAGTTGATACAGTTTTAATGGACTTCAGATCGGCCTTTGACAAAATCCCAAGTGGCCGGCTGATCCAAAAGATAACAGCCGAAGGGAACCAAAGCAAGTTGACAAACTGGATCCAAAAT